TAAATGGCATGTTTTAAGATTTCAATTACTATGAATAAAATATTTTTCTTCCATCACTCTTGGTTTTATTGGATTTTTAAAAAGTTCCTGTTTTTTTGGTCACCCTGGATTTCTTTCATCTATTTCTCCTTTGCTTTACACCTGTTTTTAAAACCTCTTAAGCTGTTTGTACCGCTTACATAAAACATTGTTTATTATTATTATTATTAATAATATTTCGCTGAGCATTTCATTAGATTTCTCTTGTTCTTAGGAACATCTATCTATCTATCTATCTATCTATCTATCTATCTATCTATCTATCTATCTATCTATCTATCTCAGTCTCTTCCTTGCCCATCTATCTATCTATCTATCTATCTATCTCATTCTGTTCATATATATCTTTCTCAATCTGTTCAGATATATCTATCTCATTCAGTTCATATCTATCGATCTATCTCAAAATAACAAAGTGTTTTTTTATCTTTAATGTCTACAACCGTTTTCTGCACCCGAATTATCTTCTTTGTACTGTTTGAAATACTTGTAGTGTTGTAATTTTGCAAAATATTGTAGTATTGCTGAAAAATAGCACAAGATGCAATCTCCATTACAATAGACATTAAATCCAAACTTGAATTAAAGAATGTAATTATTCATTGAAATGAAAATTATAATAAATTTCTTGCATAAACATATGTTGTAAATTGTAGGTGAAAGACACCAATACAATAACAGAGAAATGTTTTATTCATCAAAAATAGCCACAATATGTTTTCATGAATAGAAAGATATTATATTAGCTTAAATTATGATTACAGGAGTGAAAGCTTAATTATACATATCTATCTATCTATCTATCTATCTATCTATCTATCTATCTATCTATCTTATTAAATATAACAGGCAATGTCTGATCATGAGCCGTTGTAATGTTTAAATGGTTGCTTTAATGTCGGGTGAAAAAAATTGATCACCATTTGGATATTTTTTTTATTATGTTGGTCGTAAGATTTCGGTTTACATGAGCCATCTTCGCTGTGTTTATATAGACATGAAACAAAGATATCCAACGCCAAAGCTGATAATTTGTTATTTTTTACATAGAAAATTGCTATGCGACGATAACAGTCGCGGAATAACAGGTGCGAATCGTAAGATGACGTCATACCACGTGACAGACTGAAGTATTACAACAGAACCAATGTCTAGATGCAATGCAATATGTTGTGACTAGATTGAAATGTAATTTTGTTGAGTGTTGCTTGCTTTGTTTTAATGTAGATTAAAATATCTGAAGGTTCTTTTTACTGCGCATATGTGTGTGTATTGTTAATATCTGTCTAATATTATATACATAGCTATGTTTTTCTAAGAAATGTTGTTTAATAAAACTAATATCAGACAGATGACAGGTAAGTCCACGGGAGAGCGTCGTTGTAGCAAAACCAACATATATAGTGAGTTTATTATTAGCATCAGTGATACAATCTCTGAACGGACATGTAAATTGATACACTACATTGTTTTTTGTAGTGTATTTAGTGTGGTTGTAGGGTTATTAGAGACTATGAGGTCAATTGTTTTAAATATATATACACTAGATTTGTTTTTGAGGCAGAAATAAATTGTGGTGTCATCCGCGTAGATGCCAATTTGTGAATTTATGGCGTTAGGAAGGTCATTTATGTAGATAAAGAATAGAGTGGGGCCTAGGATGGAGCCTTGAGGAACACCTGCGTTCGTGGGATAGGAACTGGAGGAGAATCCGTTGAGAACGACCTTCAATTCACGGTTTGACAGGAATGATTGTATTACGTTATACAATCGACCCGTAATGCCATAACCCTGGAGCTTGCGAAGAAGGCCGGCATGCCAAACCCTATCAAATGCTTTGGAGATGTCTAGTGCCACGGCACGAGCTTCCCCGTTATTTTGAAGGGCTCGGTAGACAGTTTCAGTGATGGCCGTAAGCACATCAGCTGTAGATCGGGCAAAGCGGAAACCATATTGCTTGTCTGAGAGCAGATTATGGGATGTGAGGTGGTTAACCACCTCGATATTGATTATGGCTTCGAAGACTTTGCCGAAGAGGGGTAGGAGACTGATAGGACGGTAGTTGGAAGGGTCAGGGGGGTCACCGGAGTTCTTGAAAACAGGAACAATCGAAGAGGACTTCCAGCAGTCAGGAAAACAAGATTCCTTGAGGCAGTAGTTGTATAGTTTAGAAAGGGCGGGCGAAAATTCAGGCGCGCATTTCTTCAAGAAAATGGCTGGTAGCCCGTCACTGCCTTGTTGGGTTCTAAATTGGAGATAACGCCCAATACCAAAGTCGGGGTTATGTTTAACCCACTCAATAGGGCCTCAGTTCTAAGAGGGAAGTCGAGTATGCGTACACCGGAAGAGTCGAGCTTCGAGTTGAATGAAAATTTCCGAGCAAAGCATTCAGCCTGGTTGAATAAAGGAGGTATAGAGGGTTTGCAATTGTTCAATACGCTCTTGCAGAGACGCCAATAATCTTTGGAGCAAAATTTGCGAGATGCAATACGCTCCTTAATCCGAGCCGCAAATAGTGACTTAGCATCGTTGAGGACACGCTTACACTCGTTACGGGCGGAGGCAAAGAGACGTCTATTGCAGTCAGACATGTCGCTACGAAATAGGTGGAAGTAGTGGTTCCTATGGGCGATGGCGGCTGAGCAAGCAGCGGAGAACCAGGGAGAGGAGCGCGACTTGACCCTATATTTCCTTGATGGGATGAAAGCGTCGATTCCAGCATTAACCCAGGAAGAGACCTCAGAAGCACATTCTTGGACGGGGAGCGTAAAGACTTCATCCTAGGGTACATCGCGGAGGAAATCACGGAACGCGTCCAGCCAGCTCGTTGATAGTAGAAGAAGTTCTAGTGGGAGGTGGTTTATTTATAGGGGTGGAGTTGAAGGAGATGCTAACAGATACTACCGCATGATCAGAGTTACCAAGAGGGATGTTGCGAGGCACTGCAGGACTCGTGGATGGAGGTAAAACACAGGTCGAGAAGAGAGGCTTTACCTTCCCGGTTGAAGGCAAAACGAGTGGGGAATTTAACTATCTGTGTGAGGGAATGGGAGATTGAAAAATTAAGCGTTTAAATGCCTGCATGGTCAGTAGTAGCATTCTTAAGCCACAAGGTGTGATCGGCGTTAAAGTCACCAAACACAAAAATGGGAGCAAACGGGTGGAGGGAGAGAGCCTTGTCTATGCTGTCAGAAATGCTATCGAGTATCGCACAGTCATCGAGCGGTAAAGGAAGAAGAGATAGCTTACCGCATTGAGGAGAGATAGTCGGAGACACATGTATGACTGGTCTGGCGATTCGAGAGAGAACTCTCTGGCCAGAGGGAGATGTTCCTTGACGTAGACACCAAGACCGTGCATGTGGGTTAGAGAGTCTTTTCTGAGGAAAGGAAGGTAGCCGGGGATCGAGAGATCAGAAGAGGGGATAGACGAGACAAGGTTGGTCTCACAGAGAGACAGTATATCCGGGCAGTGTGCAGTGAGGAAAGATTCCATACTGCAGAAGTTTGTTCTAATGCCACGGATGTTGGAGAACGAAATGTTGAGGGGTTTAGGTGATTTTTGAGTGGCTGGTTTAGGGTTACTTTTTCGGTTTTTGTAAGTCATGTGAAATTTTGTTTGGAAGATGAGAAGGCTCGAAGTAAAAGAAACAGACAGTTTCGGCCGTGAAGTGGTCAGAGAGGAGTTGGCACAACCTGCATCATAATGTGGCATCAGGGTTGCCCACCGGAAGTGACTGCAGGGACACCTTTCCATGCGCGACATGGCACTACGAACACTCCGGTATTATACAACTGTTGATCAGAGCGGCCGCTCAAGACGCTACGCAAGAGTTAGGGCTCCTAACTACCAGTCGGAAACAGCAACCAGAGAACTGTCAACCATGTACCCTCAGAATGAAGAGGTGATGCCACAGACTGCACACATTACGGGAGAAACAGAGCTGCACTAATACAGAGGCCAGAGAGAGAAACAGTACCTGGAACCCCTTCCTAGACAAGAAACAAGGTGTAAGCCTCTACTCATGTCCAAGAGAAGGGGGGGTGTTGACCGGGCGGTAGGAAAGCCTACCTACTCCTATTACAGATAACACACAAAAAAGGACGACAAAAACAGAGAGGAGGATAGAGGGGGAAGGTAACAGGCAAAGAGTCCAGGTTGACATTTGGATATACCCTTTCACAACATCGTTTTAAGTTTTAACTTAGTATAAGTCCCATTGTCTATTCTAAAAAGAAATTGAAGAAAATAAGGTTACCCGGATTTATTATCGCATCTAGCCAGGGACATTCAATTTTCCATTTTTCCTGATTTTTCTTTCGGGCCGGGATTTCTTACTAAACTATCAAATAAGGGAGAATGGTTGGGACACAATGTGTTTCTATAGCAGAGCACATTGATGAGTAGGGGGAGACAGAAAATAAATAAATTTAAAGATTAAAAAAGGAAAAAATTAAAAATTTAAAAAAAATAAAAAAAATAAAAAATAGAAAAATGTAAATGGGTTTTTGCTAGAGCGAAACTCACACAAGGCAACAAGTGGTTGGCCGCTTTCTTCCTCATGATGGCAACTGAATGTACGGCTTATCTTAAGTCCAAGCGTCGACCTGCTGCTGCTGCTGCTGCTGATGCGGCATTCACCCTGGGCGGATTGAGCCGGCTTCTTCCTGTTATGAGAAGAAGATTCTTGGGATAAATTACAGAAGTAGGGTACCCAGGCCTACTCGGATAACGTTCTTGCTTGCCGTGGGGTTCCCACAGACGCAGAGACAGGAACGACCAGAAGCCGCCGGTTGCCGATGCAGCCGCTCCTTGATTTTCACCAGAGCCCTTGTTAGCCGGCGTGTGTGTCAGACCTGTCCGCCTTGGGTGGCCCTACCAGGAACGAAGTTCCGGCGGCATAGCTCTGACACTACCGTTTACACCCCCACCGACTGTGAGGTAAGGGTTGGACTTTGGGGGCTTACAGTACCAGGTGTTCCCAAGCGGTCCCCCATCTAAGTACTGACCTGGCTCTACGATGCTTAACTTTCAGCGTGATTTGACCGTAAGCGTCGACCTGGTGGTGGGGGGGATCAACGGCCAATCCACCGCCCTCACCAAATAATGGGCTTGGGAGATATGCTTTCAATAAAATTTAGAACAGGAGAAAGAAACGGCGAGAACAATTCCAAGTTCAGACAATTTATCAAGCAAAAAGAATCGGCCACTACATCATTAGAATACTGACGAGACACTATCGCATCTAGCCAAAGGCATTCAATTTTCCATTTTTCCTGATTTTTCTTTCGAGCCGGGATTTCTTACTAAACTATCAAATAAGGGAGAATGGTTGGGACACAATGTGTTTCTATAGCAGAGCACATTGATGAGTAGGGGGAGACAGAAAATAAATAAATTTAAAGATTAAAAAAAGGAAAAACCTTGACTATATATATATATATATATATATATATATATATGTGTGTGTGTGTGTGTGTGTGTGTGTGTGTGTACAACTGTAATGCCTCAAAAACAAAACTGCTCTCTATTAATCACCACAGAGATCCTTCCCTGCCCTCAATTAGAATGTCTGACGCTCAACTTCTCGAGAGCAACTCTCTGCGGCTGCTCGGTCCCACGTTGACTGCTGACCTGAGATGGAACAAATACATTGTGTCAATTGCTTCGTTCACCGCAAGGAAAGTTGACTCCCTGTGATCAATTTAGATCAGTCCTAGGCATTTGATAGGATTGACCATTGCTACCTTGCTGCTGTCCGGCAGGCTGCCGGAATCACACCCGACTTCTGCCGTTGGATTAGCCTCCTGTATCGCTCCACCAGTGCTGTCGTACAGGTGAACGGGAAGATGTCGGGCTCTTTTGCGCTGTCTAGCTCGATTCGTCAGGCTTGTACACTGTCGCCTCTACTTTACGCTTTGGCGTTGGAGCCTCTCCTTCGCCGGCTGAGGGACATGGCGTGTAGTCCGGCCCTACGTGGAATCGCAGTTCTTGCGTTCATGTCATCCTGAAGCAACATTGAACTGGTACTGAAGGCGCTTTATCGGTACGAAAAGGTGACAGGGACCAAGATTAAACGTCATCCAGTTTGCGGTTACGTGCCTGGAAGGGGTTCGATCTTCCGCGGCCCTTCGGTTGGAGCTGTCCGCATTCTTGCAGTGTGGTTTGGGCCCGACCTCCAGCTGGAGAAAAATTGGTCTGAAGTACAGGCAAAGGTCGACGCAGCCGGTCAGACTTTGCGTTGACGGAGGTTGTCCGTAAAGAGCAGGTTTTCCCGATTGTCGTTTATCGCTTGGCTGTACTTCCTCTGAAAAGATCATGCGAAGCCGCTCGAGCGCTTGCTATCCGCCATTTTATGGCGGGACGCAAGCATCAGATCAACAGCGAAGTCTGTGCACAACGTCCGTGACATGGGTGGGGGATGCCACACTTAGCGAGTCACAAGCTCACCTCGAGGCTGGCTTTCCTACGCCACTCGTTGACAGGGGATTCGATTATGGCGGGGATTTTAAGGGACGCCTTCCCTTTCCTTACTATCAGTCCCCCACTCATCTCGCGGACTGAGCGCCGTCGTAAACCCCGGGATAAATCGGATTTCTTTCGCGATTGTCGATATGCCTTGACTATCATTCCAGTGACTTTTTCGGCCTAGGAAGGTCTTCTATCGTTATTTAATGAAGGGGGTCGCGAGTTTTCGCTTACCTGGCGACTGGCTTGGGATAGGCTACCTCTCAATGCCAAGGCCTTCATATGGGGCTTGGCAGATTTGTTAGACTGTGAACGATGTGTCCTTGGTTTAGAAGAAACGGCTTCGCACGCCTTCTACCATTATCCTCGGGTCCGTCCCTTATGGTACCATGTCGGCCAGTTGACGGCTCGTCTCACTCCTGAAAAGCTCGTGCTCATTGATCGCGCATACGTGTACGACAATGCGTCTCCCCCGTATTCTGGAGTGAAACGAATGGTGTTTCTGACGCTGCTCGCCACGGCCCGAATGGTGATTTGGATGACGCGACAGGAGGAAGTCTTGCGAGGCAACCGTCTTTCTCATCAGGATCTGATCCGCTTGCATTCGACAGTCTTCAGCGGAAGGTGGGTCACTGAGGCGAGCTTGGTTCGTTTGAACGGAGCTAACCTTGATTTTCTCTTTTAGGTCAACCTACGTCACATCGGGATGGTTTCCTGTGGAGCCTTCCCCTTGCTTAGTCTAGACAAGCTTTGGGTACCTAGTTAATGTGAGTAAGGGTTGTTCCTGGCCTCCTCCCGGCTACATCTTTTGTTATGATCCAAGTTGAGATTCCCATCCTCCCCAGTTTGTTTTGGCCCCCTCTTTCATCTCGACTGGGTCAGCTTTATATATTTCCCATGTCCGTATATATTTTCTTCTTTCCAACTCCTTTAGCGAGAGAGCCTCTTGATTTTGTCCAATGCGGCATCTCTTTTTTTGAGGGCTGGATGGGTCAGTTATGTTTTGCTTGCTTTGTGTTGATACTGAGTTTGTTTTGGGGTTCAGTCACGCCCCTCTCATTGTTCATCACTAGATTTTTATGTGGGGTTTGGCGGATTTGCCAGAGTGTGTACGATGTGACCATGGTTTAGAAGAAACGGCTTCGCACACCCTACTACCATTGTCTTCGAGTCCGACCCTTATGCGACCCTGTCGGCCAGTTGACCGAAAAGCTTGTGATCATTGATCAAGCATACGTGTGTGACAATGCGTCCTCCTCGTATTCTGGGGTGAAACGAATGGTGTTTCTGACGCTGCTGGCCACGGTCCGAATGGTGGCTTGGACGACGTGACAGGAGGAAGTCTTGCGAGGCAACCGTCTTTCTCATCAGGATCTGATCCGATTCTTTGAGCATCAGCTCAAGATAAAGTTTAGAAGTGATAGAATATATTCTATAATATACATTATCATTAAATTTTTATGTCACGGGGTGCGTTTTGTAGGTTCCCCTTGAGAGGATGGGGTATTATGGTGTATGGAAGATTGATTGGTGACGGACGTGTTTTTATGGTGAAAGCGCAAATTGTAATGAGTGAATGGGTCGTGAGTCGGATTAGCTGAGGTATAAGACAGTAAGTGATGACCAGCCTCAACTCCTCCCCTTTTTCGGCCTCGTGCCACAATTTTTATACAATAAATATCAATATGCTGTCTACTCTGGCAGCGTGAGCTGTCAGCGTGGAAAGCTCTTGCCGTATCGGGCAGAGAGGAACCCGGACGAGGCTATGCCGAAGGGCGGAGTCTCGTCCGGGGAGGTAGACAAATACCCAATCTCGCGTCTTCGAGGTCTACGGGCAAATTTTACCCGAGCCCACGGGCTTGGATTTCCAACATTTAACTTGGCCTTGTGCAGCATCTTACCTCGTGGGGAGGCAGGTAAATATTGTAATATGCTAAGTAGTGCATCACTAGCAGTGGTTTACCTACTTCACGGCGCTGGCGAGTATTGTATTTTGTTGATGTTATAAAGATTACCATTTCATTTCCAACCTTCGTTTTGGTTATTCCTCATTCAGTAACCCTTTCTAGGTTACAACAGTTATATTCATCGAAGTAAATTTTTTGCTGACAATGGATTTTTAAGTTTTTTTCCTAATTATTCTTATAAAAATTGCTCTGTGTCATACAATATGCTCTCATATGGACTGAAAAGTCCTCCTTGGAATAATCCCTAACAATTACAATTTGATATCCTCTCTCTCTCTCTCTCTTTCTCTATTTATATATATATAGATAGATAGATAGACAGATCGATATAGATATAGAATCTGAAGAAATACATTTTCTCTGTCTTTCTTTACCTAGCTTCATTATCCACTTCCCCCCTCTCTTTTTTCTTTACTTTATATCTATTTACACTTTTTCTCCCTTATTCTCCCTCTGTTTTTATTTTTTTTTCACTTCTTTTTCTTCCTTTCGCTCCCTTTCTTCTTTCTCCCCTTTTGTCTCTATCTAGTCTCCTTTAATCTCTCTTTCTTTCCAATTCCCCACTTTCACCTTCTCTAATTGTCCTTCCCATATCTCTCCCTCTCTGCTTCCTCACTTCTTCTTTCAATTTTATCTTCCTTTCTCTCCCGTGCTTCATTCTTTCCCTTTTTCTCTTTTTCTTTCCTTCTCTCTCTTTCTTCCTCACTCTATCTTTCTTTCGACTTTCTCTTTCTTTCTCTCCCTTTCTTTTTCTATCGCTCTCTTCTTTCTCCCTCTATTCTTCTTTCTACGTTCTTCTTTTCTTCATTTTTCTTTCTTTCTTTCTTTCTTTCTTTCTTTCTTTCTTTCTTTCTTATTCGACCATTTTGGCTAAGAGCATCTTGAAAACGGGCACTGTTCCAGGTCAGGCGAGTTCTGGCCCAGGCTAGTCAAAGGTCAACTGTTCGGCCAATGTACTTGATATCAAATGGATTTCAGCGCTTTCTTCCCTCTTGAATTAGACTTTATTTCATTGGCTGGACAACGGGTCGGACAGACAACTGAACAGCCTGACGAATAATATAAGAAGTGCAACAGAAGCCGACAGCGAGAAGAATGATGAATCTAGCGGGGACTGAACGATGAGTGACCAACTAGGGTTAAATTGCATGGGACATGGGCATTGTTTCATGATAGCAAGATACCTCGGTTGGAGATAGAGAGATAGAGAGATAGAAAGACAGATAGAGATAAGAGGGACAGAGATAATCAGATAGATAGAAAGATAGATAGATAGATAGAGAGAGAGAGACAGAGATAGAGAGAGGGATAGCGAGCGGGATAGCAGATAGAGAGATGGTGAGAGAGATAGAAAAATAGATAGTTATATGATTGATAGATAGAGAGAGGATGAGAGAGTGAGAGAGACAGAGATAGAGGGAGGGATAGCGAGCGTGATAGCAAATAGAGAGATAGAGGGATAGATGGCAAGAGAGATAGAAAAATAGATAGTTATATGAGAGCTAGCTAGCTAGATAAAAGAATAGAGAGATAAACATAGAGAGATTTTAGGAGAAAGAAAGAAAGAAAGAAAGAAAGAAAGAAAGAAAGAGATAGAGAGATAGATAGATAGCGAACGTGATTATAGATAGGGAGATAGAGTGATAGATGGCGAGAGAGATAGAAAAATAGATAAATAGTTATATGATAGATAGATAGATAGATAGATAGATAGATAGGAATAGACACATAGCGAACGTGATAGTAGATAGATAGATTAATAGATAGATAGATAGATAGATATGTTGTTAGAATTACGGCTAGGTAAGTAGATTGATTCGATTTTACGGCTTATCAACCCTACACAGGTTATTTAAAGTTAGGAAATATTTTTATTTTGCGACAAAAAATTTAATGTTGAAATAATAATTTAGTGATAGAAGCATTATTAATTAATCCATAGCTTAGAGGTGGATTCATGCCTTTCCTAAGGGAATTTGCGCGTAAGTGAATATAACGAACCCAACGGGAATTGGAACTCGGCTCTCCAATTAACAATTCCGAGCCATTATCCATTACACCATCCGCACATCCAAGCTTACAGCACCAGGTATTCTCAAGCGGTTACCCATCTAGGTACTGACCAGGCTCGACGTTGCTTAACATCGGTTATCGTACGTGAACTCGACTCTCCAATTAACAATTCCGAGCCATTATTCATTACGCCATCTGCACATCCAAGCTTACAGCACCTGATATTCCCAAGCGGTTACCCATCTAGGTACTGATCAAGCTCGATGTTGCTTAACATCGGTGATCGTAAGGGAACTCGACTCTCCAATTAACAATTCCGAGCCATTATCCATTACACCATCTGCACATCCAAGATTACAGCATCTGGTATTCCCAAGCGGTTACCCATCTAGGTACTGACGAGGTTCACCATTGCTTAAGTTCGATGTTTCAACGTGATGTGAAAGTAAGCATAGATATATAGAGAAAAATAAGTAATTGAAGATATATAGAGAGAAATAGAGAGATAGAAAGAGATAGATACAGAGATAGATAGGTAGAAAGAGTGAGAGAGAGAGAGAGAGAGTGAGTGAGTGAGTGAGAGAGAGCAGAGACACAGAGAGATATAAAGAGACAGATAGATAAATAGAACAGGACAGATTGATAGGTAGGGAGCATAATAGAAGAAAAGTGAGGGAGAATAGCTAGAGAGTGTAGTTTCCCAGTTATCTATTTAGAGAGTAAGAAAAAGATAGAAATATATAGATAGATAGAAAGGGACTGTGATATATATATATATATATATATATATATATATATATATATATATATATATATATTTCTGAAATGAGGTATTATGTACACTATTTACATTATTCGGACAATTGTCCTCATCTTTGTCACCATGTTTATCACAACGTTCCGGCTATTGTACGCTCCGGGCTTCTTCAGGTGCTTGAAATGTCGAACTGTGTCACATGGCACAGCGGATAAAGGCGTTAAGTAGTTCCAATGACAGGACTCAAAGACTGTGAGTTCAATACCCGTTTAAGGCAGTGGAGAAATTTCAGAGGGGAATTAACAGGAGATAACTGACATCCATTGTGGCTGAATAAAGATTAAGGGACTTTCCATAAAAAAAAAAAAAATTATCTTACAAAAATTTTGAAACTACCAGCTTCTCTCGTTTTTGCACATGTGTAGACGTGGTAACATCAGCAAAACCCAGACAGATGAAATCCTAACGGATGAAACGCGTCACAATTTTATTTTATAATTTTTCATCTGTCTGGGCTTTGTTGATGTTACCACGTCTACACATGTGCACGAAACGAGAGAAGCTGGTAGTTTCAAAATGTTGCGAGATAATTTTTTTTGAAAGTCCCTTAATCGTTATTCAGCCACAATAAATTTACGTCCAGGTTCTTACAATATATCACCATTCTTGGTAGATTTTCTGCTGTCATAATTTTGGATAATCAGGGACAACGGCGATCGAGAAAAAAGGAAAAAGAATACAGATGAATTTGGCGAGATTGAAAAAAAAATCTTTCAAAAATATTCTAATGCTGCTGTTCTCAAGATATATAACAAGTACACAATAAAAGAGGTGGGCTCATGCCTTTCATGTTTTTCTAAATACTGTTTGTTTATAGATAAAATTATACAAAATTATATATTCTGATATTCGACTCTTGTTTTGAAACATGAGGACTCTTATGTAGCGTTGTAATCATATTTTTAAATATATAATTATATATATATATATTTAAATAAATAATTATATATATATATATTTAAATAAATAATATATATATATATATATATTTAAATAAATAAATATATATATATATATATATATATATATATATATATATATATATATAACAAAATGGGAGGAAAAGGAAGGATAAAAAAATTTACTTCCCGTAGTGAATCAAAAATAAATATAACGACAAATAAAGAAACAAGAAGGAGCGAAACGTTTATCGATCCTCAGTCTTCAATGTAAATCGAGGACAAAACATAAATATTGGTACAACGACTAAAAATGGAGAGAAAAAATACAGCCATAAAATCAGTAGAATAAATTACAGAATAGGTTTAGACCCAGCAGAAATTTCATCTTACAAAGGGAAGGCTTCTTAGGCTTAATATAAATGTTTTTTCGTTTAATTTTCGCTGATTCAGGCACATAAAGAGGAATGAGGACTGGGAGAATTTGACACTCACGGGACGGAGGAGAGCAACTCATAACCGACTTAAGGAGCTCGTGTAAATGGTTGGCAGAATAGGAGAGATAACGAACAATTTAGTAAGTGCTACAAAGAAGGGGAAATTGTGGAGAGGCATGATTTCCCACGTCCTGAATGGACACGGCACAGAGAAGAAGAATAAACTGAACGAACTGCTTTCAGTTATGCGTCGCTTGTGCCTTGAGAAACGATATTACTTCGCTCTGAAATCACTTGATTTATCGCGGCTTATTGATTAGTTACGGTACTAATTTCGACCGGCGTTAAGGCCAATGACCCTGCCCCTCGTCGGCAGTGTCTTACAGTGAATCGGGGCGTTAAAGATAAGCATCGATTGAACGTTCGACGTAGCCGGGGAAAAACAGAGACGGGTAAAATTTCAGGCCCGAATAATGACATTATAGTGGAACTACCGACGCAAGAAGAATGTAAAATCATTATTTAGACTGATGTGCAAATAGATAGGGGCGTCGTTGGAATATGTAATTATTAAGTCTCTGGGAAATCAAAACCTTATGTGTGCCAGGAAAAAGCACATTCTAATACATACATACATACATATATATATATATATATATATATATATATATATATATATATATATATATATATATATATATATATATGTGTGTGTGTGTGTGTGTGTCATTTCTTCTTTTTCGCGTCTTTGGCATGACGATAAACTACACCCGCGTTCTGGGTAAGACGATAAACTACATCCGGCACAGCAAGGCTTCTGATCAGGAGGTTTTGAGGAGTGTGGAACCACCTCTTAATTACTGGTGGTTCCAGGTCCGCCCTGACGTGGGGTGGTAGCACCTGTCCCGTTTCCAGCAAAAGGAGTTAAAATACTATGAAAGTATAAAAAAAAATAGTAGCAGCAATGAAAATATTGTCGGCATTAAAAAAAACCATTGAGGTTGATATACCGTAAAGTAAACTAAGCCAAACAAATATATATTGAGATAGATAGATAGATAGATAGATAGATAGATATGAAGACACTTGGATAGATAGATAGATAGATAGATAGATAGATAGATAGATATGAACAGACTTAGATAGATAGATAGATACGAACAGACTTGGATAGATAGATAGATTACAGCAATAAAAATCTCGTCGGCAATAAATAACCCATTGAGGCGTTGATATGCCGTAAAACAAACCAAACCAAACCAAAACCAATATATACTGACATAGATAGATAGATAGATAGATAGATATGAAGGGACCACGATAGATAGATAGATAGATAGATAGATAGATAGATAAAAAAAAACTATTACCAGCAATAAATAACTCATTTTACAATCACACACCATTTTACCATCCATTCAACTTTTCCTCATCCATTCACGTCCGTTGCGTCCATTTGTCCCTTTTACTTTCGATGAGTATCAAATTTCCCAAGCCTTCTTTCCTCATTGTGTGCCCCTAAAATTTCAGCTGTCTTTTTGAGATTCAAAGTATAATGTTCTTGTTGCTTCCTTTTTTCGTAAGACATCTTCCTTGTTAGCAGATTCCGTCCATGGTATTCTCAGCATCCTTCTGTAGAACTACAATTCTGTTGCCTTCAGTCTTCTACTCATCTGTGAGGAGATTGATCAGCATTTATTGTCATAAACGAGGATTGATATTACTATCAAAAGTTTCATCCTTATATATATATATATATATATATATATATATATATATATATATATATATATATAATATAATTAAATAATTAATTAAATGTTTAAGTAAATTCTCTGTTTATAATAAACAGTTGTAACAACATTTACCGGCCTGAATGTCCGAGAAATTTCATAGAAAATATACGTCCTCCGACAGAATCGAACCCGTATCCCATATGGCGTGCTATATCAGTTTAGCTACGAAGCAGTGTCTGGTTAGCACGATCTATCTATCTATCTATCTATTAATTACTGAGTGCTAGAGAATATGAGAAAAAACTTCTATTAAGGAGTGAGAACAATAAAAGAACAATAATTTAGAAGACAGAAGATGAAAATTGACATTGCATTTAGATTTCTCCCCAAGTAAGGCACCAAAGCCACTAAGACGCAAAGAGGGGGTGATGTTACTGAATATTAGAGAATATGAAAAATATTACTATTAAGGAGAGAGAACAATAAAAGAACAAGAATTAAGAAGACAGAAGATAACGACTGGCATTGTATTTAAATTTCCCTCAAGTAAGGCACTAAAGCCACTAAGGTGCACTGAGGGGGTACTGAATGTTAGAGAATATGATAAAAAACTACTATTAAGGAAAGAAAACAATAAAAGAACACGAATTAAGAAGGAAGGAGATGACGATTGACATTGCATTTAAATTTTTGAAGATCGTAATTGATATATCAAAACCAAATTTTAAAATGAAGTACAAACAGGTAAGGCGGGTACAATGCACAGTTGGTTTTACTAATGTGTGTAGCTTAGTACAAATTATTTTCATTAATTTTTTTTTTTAAAAATTAAAAGTTTAATAAATAGATTAAAAGTGATTTAGCACACAAAATACTTATATTATTTTAAAAACAATTTAACGATTAAAATACTGATTTAATAAAAATGCAATATTGTTTTTTATATCTTTTCTTTAAGTTTTTATATAGAAGAATTCATTTTCCATTTTGCCCTGTTTTTGCGAAAATTATAAACAAATCACAAGGCCAAACGCTTCCAAAATTGGAATTTGGCCCCAGAAAGATATATCTACGCATGGGCAGTTGTATGTCGCTTGCTCAAGAGTAAGAAATTATAAGAATTTATTCTTCGTTGTTAAGAAGGAAAAAGGAAGAAAAAATATTCTTGAGAAATATTGCTTACCATGAAGTCTTATAAAATTAAATTAAATTAAAGATATTATCAAGACGCGAACTAGGCTTTTTGTCAAAGAATTTTTTCCCCAAACTCAGCTTATTGAAATTTTTTTCGATTGGTATGCGAAATTGAACGAAACGTAGAGTTTGTAAATATCGACAAAAAATGTTAGCGACAGCATCAACAATATTAAATATTGTGAGGATTTAGCGCGATGCAGAAAATTTCTAGTTTATGTGGCCGAGTGGTTAGAACGTTCGCTTTCTTGCCATGAGACTTGGGTTCGAATCTCACTGCGGTTGTTTTGTCAGGAAGGAGACTTCGTGACGTTATCAGTGTAGAGGGGGACGATCCTGGCGTGCGGAAAACCATACCACGGGTTGACCCAAAACTTGGGAGTGAAACTGGGTAGACCGAACACTTGGGTGCCGTCGATAGCTGCGCCAACACGAAGTCATAAGTCATCGTGACCGAGGGATTGAGTGTGCGGGTCTTGTTCAGATTGCTGACCATTCTAAATAACAGAAACTGTAACAGCACACCACAGGTTGGCACTGTGAGTGTTGAAAAAACGCAACTGTGCCTGAGCAAGCGCCTTCAATAGGGATTGGCAAACCACTCTAGTAGGGTATGCTCGAATACTAGTGGTCAGCTATTATATATATATATATATATATATATATATATATATATATATATGTGTGTGTGTGTGTGTGTGTGTGTATATAAATTTATATTTACGCAGCGAGATTTATTGTTTTAAATGTTTCGGAATATTATTTTCTATTTACGATGGTAAAACGAAACGAAAACGATGGTGTCCAAAACAGATCTTTCTAAACGAAAATGATGGTGTCCAAAACAGACCTTTCTAAACGAAAATGATGGTGTCCAAAACAGACCTTCCTAAACGAAAATGATGGTGTCCAAAACAGACCTTCCTAAACGAAAATGATGGTGTCCAAAACAGATCTTTCTCAATGTATAACAGCGTCAATGAAAGCGAATAAACCAGTACATGTGTTTTGTTTTACTGTATTACCTGTTCCATTGTTCTCATGACTTTTTGGTAAGAGGTGACAAGACTTTCGGACCACCCTGTAAATTTTTTTCCCCGAAATCTAAATGTACACGACACCTCTTCCTCTAATATGTGCCGTGTCTCTTCAGGACGTGGACAGTCGTGGCTCTCCACAACTTCTCGTCCTTTGTAGCTCTTACAAGTATTTACTTTTCAACGTAGAATGTGGTCCGAAAGTCACCCTTGCATAATATAATTTTCTATTTCAGATGGCTGACACGAAAATGCTGTTCATACAGACCTTCTCGATGTATAGCAGCATCAATGAAAGTGAATAAACTGAATCCAGAACATGTGCTTTGTATTACTATATTTACTTGTTCTATTGTTCTAGTTACTCAGGGGGTTGTGCAAGACTTTCAGACAACGCTGTAGATTTTATTCGAGATCGAAATGTACACCACTTCTTTTCCTCTAATATGTGCCGTGTCCCTTCGGGACCTGGACAATGATGGCTTTCAAAAACTTCCTGTCCTTTATAGCTCTTATCTGGCTACACTCAAAATTGGGATAGTGGTCCGAAAGTTTTGTCACTCCTACATAATATAATTGTCTATTTCAGATGGCTGACATGAAAATAATGGTGTTCAGATAGACCTTCTCGATGTATAGCAGCATCAATGAATCTGAATAAACTGAATCCAGTCCAGTGTGCTTTGTATTACTGGTGGTTCTATTCTCAATACTTTTTGGTGGGGATGACAAGCCTTTCGGACCACTCTGTACTGTTTTATGATGTTATTATTTCGAAATACATGACGAGGAATTTTTTAATTCATTTTTTATTTAGTTTTTACAGAATTCTTACGTTTTTGCTTTTGCTGGGAGTAAGGGAGTGCAAAGATTACCATTGTCCCATCAGACCCTAACAGGCACACCTTTAGCCATTTTCAAGGTTGTGGGGGTGGTTTTTAGGTGTTAATAATTTCTTTTCATGTTTGACTGATCATGAAAGGCGATAATTTTACTATGATGTAAGGGGCTACTGGCAAGGCAGAGAGAAAGAAAAAGACAGGAAACAAGCGATAAACATCTACTCCTATTCAAAAGATTGGGGAGGAGTCTCAACCGGCTGATAGATGTCCTGAAGTATTCTTTTTATAGCACCAGTCCCGATATTTTTTTGATCAGACAGATATATATATATATATATATATATATATATATATATATAAGCAAATATATGGATATAGATCCGACAGTATGAAGAAAAATATATACGGAAAAAACAAACAAAAATCTTAATATGCGATTATGCTGTTTTAATGTTAATATGTCAACGTCGGACGTTTCGGTCTAATAAACCATCTTCAGGAACATATTCATAAAATATAATTAACATTATCAATTCAACATGACAAAGACGATGTACATAAGAACAAGACTTATCCAAACAAATAACTGAAAGCGCTCCGTTTAAAACATGGTCACGTTGTCGTCACGTGAAGTGGACACTGAGCTTAACTTCAAGCGGCAACAGTGGGCACCTCGAATCGGAGTAATGGTTAGAAAGCTTGTCTTGCTAGAACAATTACGACTGGGTAGTGAGTTCGATCCTCACTGGGTGCCCCATACTTTCGGCCTTGTGCCACATCTAAGCTACGCTTAGACAATCAATACAAGGATGAACCCGTCGGATCATTGACTAGCATACTCTTTCAAATACTCCCACATGGTATCGAATGGTTTCGCAGACTCCCCGCCCAGTGACACATTAATGAACCGTCTCTTCATTATTAATGTCTGTTGCATAAACCAATTGTTTTAGATGGCCCCACAGATAAAAATCCAAAGTAATGATGTCTGGGGAACTTGCAAGTCATGGAATCGGTCCTCCTCTACCTATCCATATTTCATGCCCGTGCACCGCGAACAATATGACCACAATGTGCTGTAGCCTCATAATGCCTAAACCACATGCGTCTTTGAATTAGCAGGGATACATCCTCTAGCACGTATGGAAGTGTGTTCGAAATAATGTCCCTGTAGGCGTGCTGAGACAATATATGGACCTACCAGGTAGTCACCTACAATTCTAGCTTACACATTAATCGTAATGATGGTGTCTAGCCTCTGTCTATATTTCTGAGATGAGATATTACGTATAATATTTGGATTATTCGGAGTATTGCCCTCATGTTTGTTGAATCTAACCAACGCCTTTATTCTCTGTGACATGTGTCTTTAAGGCGTTGGTTAGATCCAGAGACAAGACCCAAAGACTGTAAGTTCAGTACCTGGTTAAGACAGTGGATAACTGGAGAGGTGAATAAACAGGAGATAACTGATAACTGATATCGATTAAACATGGCACGTGGAACTAGAACAGTCTACCCCAGCGAGCGAAATAAAGGGTTCAGTTCAACATTCCACCCACCTAAAGAAGGCCGGAGCGTACAACAAATATGGCGAATAATGTAAATAGTGGTGTCTAGCCTGTATTGTAGCATGGGGATTCCGATCTACGCACTAATGTTGGTTGTATAAATTTGTTATTCCATCTCTTCCAAACCCTGTCTCATCTGTAAACAAGATTTAATTGACAAACAACGGATCGGCAGTTTGTGGAATAAACCATCATCAACAGTTCTCCTGTGGTGAGTGATCAGACGGGGGAAAGGTTGCAAATGATGTTGTTCTTGAACTACTCTCCAGGTGGTACTATGTGACGTACGACATGCTAGCGTAACTTCACGCTTGCTGATACCTGGATCGTCTTCGACAACGAAGTAGAATGTGTTCTTCGTGGTCAGGTGTACGCGCGGATCTCGGCCTTCCTCGGTCAATAGTTTGTGTTGCTACGGATCCTTTCTCACCAACGCGACGATAAACAGCAGCAAAGGTTGGATGACTCACCTGCCTTCGGGCTGGAAACAAAATCTGATACAGCCTCAAGTCCATTGCTATTCGCGCGGTCGTATGTAAAAGCGATATCTGCCTGCTGACGATATTAATATCCTGCCTTTTTAAAACGGGACATTTCTCAGTTAACTCACTACTACACACGTCAAACGTTGAAGACAGAGTAGCCACAAATATACACGAATGACAAATGTAACCTAGTCTTTTTGTCAACACAGCACCATCTACCATAAACTTTCTTTAAACCTCATAATTAAAAAATGAAGAATTTGCGGGCATATGCTTATATGAACTTTTGTCATTGTTTTTGTGTGAGGGAGCCGCCTCCAAATTGGGAAAATTATTTTTGATATATTCTGTACATGTGTGCGTTCGCATATGTGCATATGTGTGTGCGTGTGTATGTGTTTGTAAAAGCGAAGATAATCAAAGAGGAAAATCTATTAACGACGCGTTTCGCTGAGAAAGTCAGCTCTACTTGGCTTCCTCGGGTTAGAATGAAAGAAAAACAAAAGTGTGTGTGACAGAAAATGCCTTGGGATCTCTGAAGGTAAGTAGGAATCACAAATGAAATTAGATTACATTTCCTTATAATATCCAATATCCAGAACGCCAATGTTCGCACAAAGAGGATGATGCCAACGATGAAAAAAAAAAAAAAATGAAAACAAAAAGTGAATGGAAAAGAAAAAGAAGAAAAAGTGTTATATACCGTAGCTATGAACCCTAATGGGTATGTCCCAATCCTCATAAATACGTTGGACACTATTGTAAGTGGGGGTAATATGCTGTCTAGGTAGTCCACCACAAGAAGTGGTTTACCTACTTCACGCCGCTGGCGAGTATTGTATTTTGTTGATTTTATAAAGATTATTTTCATTTTCAAACTCCGTTTTGGTTATTCCTCATTCACTATCCCTTTCTAGGTTAGAACACTTATATTTATCGAAGTAAATTTATTACTGACAATGGACTTTTAAGGTTTTTTTCTTATTATTCTTATAATTTGCATTGAGGTCTCATATGGACTGAAAAGTTATCCTTGGGATAATCCTTAATAATTACAATTTGGTATTATATATATATATATATATATATATATATATATATATATATATATATATATATCGATAGATAGATAGATAGAATCACTAACAGTGGTTTACCAACTTCACGCCGCTGGCGAGCATTGTATTTTGTTGATGTTATAAAGATTAGCGTTTCATTTCCAACCACCGTTTTGGTTATTCCTCATTCAGTAAACCTTTCTAGGTCACGACACTTATATTCACCGAAGTAAATTTATTATTGACAATGAACTTTTAAAGTTTTTTCCTTATTATTCTTATAATTTGCATTGATGTCTTATGTGGACTGAAAAGTCCTCCTTTTAATTTGGTATTCTATCTATCTATCTATCTATCTATCTATCTATCTATCTATCTTTTTCTCTCTCTATATATATATATACCGAGAGAGAGAGATAGGTAGGTATATAGATAGCATCACTAGCAGTGGTTTACCTACTTCATGGCGCTGGCGAGTATTGTATTTTGTTAATGTTATAAAGATTACCATTTCATATCCAACCTCCGTTTTGGTTATTCCTTATTCGGTAAACTTTTTCTAGGTTACAACAAAAAGAAAGAAGAAAAAGCCACCGATGAAGAAAAAGAAGAAAAAAAAAATCATCAAAGAACCAAATAAATCATAGCATGACACAAAAAACATAAAAGTATACCTTGACCACGAGAAAGAGAAAGTGAAAAAAAAATCAACAGAAAAAGGAAAAAAAGATGTCGAGGGTGAAGAGCGAGACGAATGTCAGGAAGGAAGGATAGCGAGGGAGATAGGCCGAAGATAAAATATGGCTGTTGTGATTAATATACATTCAAAGCGTAGCAATACTTTGTTAATTGTACGCACGAAAAAGCCATCAGTTTTGCACTGGTTGCTACGATTTGCCCCATCGATTATTATTATTATTATTATAATAATAATATTATTATTATTATCCGTGTCTTAAAATGGCGGCAATATTTAAACTTTTGATATTTTAAAAGTACAATACAATTAGCAAAATTTCTGTCTATTTACCAGAGAGATAAAAATAAAGTTTAAAAGGACAGAGAGTTCTTGCCACTACTGTATCATCAGAAGAGCCTGCAACACAGAGGTAGGTATTTTAGACATGTCTGTATAATGCCTATTCTGGGGACGTAGAAATGTCTCTCTTTTTTCTATCTCTCTCTCTCTATCTCTATCTCATAAACATATTAACAAAAAAAAAAAAAAAAGACAAAGAAATTTTAAAAAATGATACATAGTGTGTTTTATAAAAGTGGATTATAGAAACTCCTCACTTAACGACTTACTCGTTTAACGACTACTCGAACTTACGACCAGCTATAGAATCTCATAAAATAAGAGATAATAAAATCCAACCAAACGGTATTGTAATTTATACAAAAACTTCGACTGTGGCTCAATTGGCAAAAGCACGCCAGGCTATATAACGGTTCCGTATAGGATACAGGTTCGATTCCTGTCGGAGGACGCATATTTTCTATGAAAATTTCTCGTACATTCAGGCTGGTAAATGTCGTTAATACTGTTTATTATAAACCGATCATTTATTTAAATATTTGTATCTATAAAAAGAATGTATAAACATAAAAATGTCTTAAAATAAATGTCGGACTTTGTCCATTTCATAATGTGTGAGGTCATTTGTTTACATTTGATACGCCATTAGCAGATATGAATGTACGTGAGAGAATCATGGAAAATTGTAGTTTAAAGACAGTAAAATCAACCTTGCTAACCGAACACTCCTCTGTGGCCAATCGGTTAAAGGCACGTCAGGCTAAATGACGGTTCCGTATAGGATATAGGTTCGATTCCTGTCGGAGGGTGCATATTTTCTATGAAAATTTCTCGGACATTCAGGCTGGTAAATGTCGTTAATATTTACTTAAATATTTGTATCTATAAAATAATGTATAAACATAAAAAAAATATTTGCATTTCCAATATGCAGACCGAAGTAGTGTAGAGTGTATGTAACTGATTTTCAAATTTACTTATTGTATTTACTTATTTATTCAGCTTACTGTGCATTACACTTCTTTTTTATATGCTATGTCCCCTCAGGACGTAGGCGATCATGGTTCTCCACAATTTCCTGTCTTTTGTAGCTCTTAATAAATTTTCTCTATTTGTTATTTTTCTAAACCTTGTTCCGCCATCCATTTAAGCTCATGAAGTATATTATGCATTGCTTTCCTCTGACCCTTTTGTCTTCAGTACGCCCTGTGAGTATCAGATTTTCCAAGCCCACTTTCCTCATTATATGCCATATACATTTCAACAATCTCTTCTTGATGTTAAATATAAATGTTCTTTTTATTTCCATTTGCTCTAAAAATTCGTCCTGGCTCATATGTTCGGTAGAAATTATCCTCAGCATTTCTTGGTTAGAATCTACATTTCTGTTGCTTCAAGTCTCTTCTTCAGTTTTCTTCCTATATGGTAATCCTTGCCATATTGAAAGATATCGCCTAAGAGTTCAGTACACGTTTCTTTGTTTCTAATGTAGTGTTTCTGCTTTTTATTACTCTGCTTAGCTTTCGGAAGGCATCTTTAGTAATGTTACAAATTAATTAGTAATGTTACAAATGAGGCAAAAGTGACTTTAAAGCTGGTTGGCACAAGCCCATTACACGTGTAACATGTCTGTAATAGCGGGCCGGTTCATCTTTAACGTTTAACGACCATCTCGTTTAACGACCATTTCGTTTAACGACAATCTCGTTTAACGACCACATCATTACGGAGGAATCCGGTCGTTGAATGAGGAGTTGCTGTAATCGGAAGAATGTGCACCAGTGTTGGATAATGACTAGTGATCATTGCTTTGCCATTAGTACTGAGCTATGAGTTTATTCCCCACTAGGTGATATAGCCTGATGAAAAAAAAAAAAAAAAGTTACAAAGTTTAGTGTATTAACGTAGTTTGTTGTAGGTTAAGACTGGGTGAGTAAGTTTAATTCCCCATTTCTACAATGCAGTGAATTCGATTCTCACTAGGTGCCACATATTTATGACATTGTACAAGTCCATTTAAACTTTTAACCGAGTCAGTTGCGTTCCCTTCATACAACGGCCTCAGAAAAGGCATGAATCCATATCCTCCCACTAGTTACCGTATTTTTGCGGCTTACAAGACGCACTTTTTTTTCTTAAAATACTCAAGTAAGCTTGGACGATCGCCTAATAGGCTTGACTGATAAGGACGTGGATTTGTATGTTGAGGCATTACACTATAATGTTAGCTATTTAATTCAGCCTTTTATATGATGTAACCTCAGTATTTAACTGTTATAAGTATTTCCAAGACTATAAACCTTCCTGGAGCCGAGCCACAATCTTAAACATGCTCTGTTTACTAGCAGCGGCGGAAGCCTTTCTACTTTTGACTAGTATGTCATTGCCATACAAACAAAATCAGACGAGTGATTAATGTAGACAAGACGTGTAACCAGTATGTAAGGGACGCATGGTGAATGTGTTGTTGTATGAGAATAGTTTGTTTTTTTTTACTTAGAAATTTCTTTCCATGCCTTCTATGCCGCAGCGTCTTGTAAGCCGGAAAATACAGTATGTGATTAGATAGTCTTGGATGGCGGCTAGTGTAGAACAAAAATCCGAATTCGAACAAGTTTGGTGTACACGTACCATGAAGCGTGAATAGAGTTGATCTAGACATTCACATCAAATGATCCTCCACTAAACGTCCTGGACATTAACTTGCCGCTTCGTCATGGTAGGAATAACGAGAGGGAGTGTCTAGAATTGTGCAACTCTATAAATAAATTTTCCTGACAAATTTTCTGGGGTCTTATCAAGTGATGGTGTTGAGCACCATCACGTGATAAGACACCAGAAGTTTTGAAACGAAATGGCTATTTTTGTAGTGATTTTTATGTTATAATTTTCGAATAAATAATTATATTGGCTCTACTCTGTATTGAGCACTCTTTTAAGAATAGTATTTCTTGGTTATTGGAATTTATTCCGTATACACCAATCCTATACTTAGGTATATATATATATATATATATATATATATATATATATATATATATATATATATATATATATATAGCAGAATGTGTGTGTGTGTAACGAATGCACGACCGCAATTTTCGACGGATTTGCACCAAAATTTACATGCACATGCTCCAAGTTAGCGAGGAGGCTAAGACCGACTTTGCATTTTCCAACTCCCATCGATAGTGGAAATAATCGATTTTTTCATGCTTCTACGGCAGTTTTCATGTAGTTTGTGGCCATTTTGTACTGACCAGTGAGAGCCAATAGCTGGCTGCCATGAATAGGCAGGAAGAGTCTATTGGCCAGCGTGAGTGTGAAAAATTTAAATCTGCATGTCACTTTACTCCAATTGGCTCCTTCGCTTGCTTAAACTCAACGTTGATTCTGATTCCGCAGAACTGGGTTGGGTGTGAAAAAGTATTTGTTTCTAACATTATTTTTTCATTCGGTTTTTCCAGTTACGAGTTCTTTTTTAAAGCTGATCGTTTTGTGTTCATTTTGTTTAGTTCTTTTTTCGTAACAGATTTAGTGCATAGTATAGAGCTTAGAAAAAAAATCCGCAGTGTGAGATAGGCAAGAAGTAAGGCATGTAGCAACATCAGCACGGCAAAGGGCACTCCTTTAAAGGCAAGGAAGGGCAAAAATATTTTAAGTCAAGTGATAGCGATTGCTGTATGAGTCGTACGATTTTTGAATCAAGTACGGGCAACGCCGGCCCATGCTGCTAGTATATATATATATATATATATATATATATATATATATATATATATATATATGTTTTGAAGCTTGAATAAGCATGGAATAATAATAATAATACAACACAAAATGTACGTAACAAAATGTATTGAAACAATGAAAAAGGTACACAATATTTACAGGTAGTTTTGGTATATTCTTGGGAAGACTGTTCCTGCAGAATGGGTTGACTAAGTCGCAGTCGGGCAGAGTCTCTGGATTCGATCTCTTAATCTTCCGTCGTCTTCCGGTACCAACCCATATTTATATGGTCGGTACTCCACTTATGTAAATTAGGTGTATCATACACAACAATATGTGTGTGCGTGTGTGTGTGTGGGCAGTGGGTTCATCATATATATTGTCTTAATATATATATTGCTATGTAATTGCTATACCGGAATGTTTTGACCTCAATCTTAAACTGGATTCCAGGGAAACCGGAAGCCTTTCGATAGTGCTATGTCCGCAACATCCGGTTTTTCTGCATCCTCTATTTTCTACATTTACCAATCTGTGAAATTTAATATTAAAACAGTAAATGGTCATCTTTTTCTTCACTCTAGCAAAGTGGTGGGTTTTAAAAAGAATTTTAAAAAAATGAATTTGAAGTCCTACCATGTATTCATTGCTCCTCGGTTAACGACCGGGTTCCTTCCTTACGATGTGGTCGTTAATCGAGCTGGTCGTTAAAAGAGCTGGTCGTTAAACGAGAAGATGAACCGGACCGCTATAACAGGCATGTTACACGTGTAATGGGTTTGTGTCAACCAGCTTTAAAATCACCTTTGCCTTATTTGTAACCGTAGTATGTGTTACGGTTTTTTGGGTATATTATATATAACTAGGGTATTTATTTGTAAATATATACAAATTGTGGCACAAGGCCGAAAGGGGAGGGAGTAGAGGCTGGTCTTCACTAACTATCTTATACCTAGCTAATCAGATTCACGACCCATTCATACCTTACAATTAACTCATTCACCACAAGAACTTGTCCATCACCACTCAATCCTTCATGTTTTAATACCAGATTCTCACAAGGGGGACCTGCAAAACGCGCCCCAATCCATAAAATTTGATGATACAAAAAATGCTATACAAAATTTAATAATGATAGGATGCAAGGAAGGAGATGAACCCAATAATAACTAAAAATAAACACAACATTCAAACTAAACATAACATATGTTAGTAGGGACCGTCCACCCTCAAAACCAAGGTTGCTGTATTCTGCCCAAAGGGCAGAATCAAGGACGCTCTCGCTAAAGGGAGTGGAAAAGGATAAAATATTATGCCGGAATGGGTAATATAAAACTGACCCAGTCGAGATAAAAGAGGACCAAAACAAACTGGGAGGTTGGGAATCTCGACTTGGACCATAACCAAAGAGCAGCCGGGATACAGGCCAGGAACAAATACTCACATTAACACTGAATTGTCTAACCTAACCAAGGGGGGTTAAACAGGAAGCCACCCCGATGTGCTAAGGTTGACTTAAAAAGAAAATCAAACTAGCCCCGGTCACACGAACCAAACACTACTTTTAACCTTTCGCTGAAGACTGTCGAATGCAATCGTTTTCTATCAGATTAATCTTCATCTTGAGCTGATGCTCAAAGAATTGGATTAGATGCTGATAAGAAAGACGGTTGAATAAACTCCTCCATTCGCGTCGTCCAAATCACCATTCGAGCCGTGGCCATCAGCATCAGAAACACTATTCGTTTCTCCCCGGAATACGGGGCGACACATTCACACGCGTATGCGGATCCATGGACACATGTTCGGGAGCGAGACCGGATTCATCGCCGACATGGTAAGGGCGGACCTGGGGGCAATGGTAGAAGGCGTGCGCAGCGAGTTTGTCTAAGCCAAGAACACGTTCACAGTCTGGAAAATCCGCCAAAAAATGAAATTGTCATTGAAACGATTCCGAGCCAATCGCCAGGTCGAAAACTCAGGGTTACTCGTTAATCCGCCGCTGTCGTTAAACCAAGAGGGCGATCTCCTCCTCCGACAACGAGCGTATCACGTCGTTATCCTTCGCGGACCCTCCACTAAACCACGATAGAAGACCTTCCCTAGGCCGTGAAAGGTCACTGGACCGGGGAATGGCCTTCAAGGCCAACCGACACTCGTGGATGAAATCCGACTCATCCCGGAGCCTACAACGGCGCATATTAATATATAACTAGGGTATTTATTATGTAAAAAATACATAATTGTGGCACAAGGCCTCATTTGGGGTAGAGGCTGGTCTTCACTAACTATCTTATACCTAGCTAATCAGATTCACGACCCATTCATACGTTACAATTAACCCATTCACCACAAGAACTTGTCCATCACCACTCAAATATTTCATGCACCATAATACCGGATTCTCACAAGGGGACCTACCAAAACGCGCCCCAATCCATAAAAATTGGATGATGATAAATATTCTATACATAAAAATCTAATAATGATACAATGAGAGGGGAGGGAGATGAAAAAAATAACTAAAATATACACAAAATACAAACTAAACATAACCTATGTTAGTAGGGACCGTCCAACCCAAAAAACAGTGAAGGCTGCTGTATTCTGCCCAAAGGGCAGAATCAAGAAGCGCTCTCGCTAAGGGAGTGGGAAAGGATAAAATATTATGCCGGAATGGGTAATATAAAACTGACCCAGTCGAGATAACAAGAGGACCAAAACAAACTGGGAGGTTGGGAATCTCGACTTGGACCATAACCAAAGAGCAGCCGGGATACAGGCCAGGAACAACACTTACTCACATTAACTAGGTACACTGAAGCTTGTCTAACCTAACCAAGGGGAGGGTTCCACAGGAAGCCACCCCCGATGTGCTATAGGTTGACAAAAAAGAAAATCAAGGCTAGCCCCGGTCACACGAACCAGGCTTGCTACTTTTACCCACCTTTCGCTGAAGACTGTCGAATGCAATCGTTTTCTATCAGATCTAATCTTCATCTTGAGGATGCTCAAAGAATTGGATTAGATGCTGATAAGAAAGACGGTTGCCCCGCAAGACTTCCTCCATTCGCGTC